CTCTCCCGCGGCAGCCTCGGCCCGCGGCTCCGAGGGCGCACCGGCGGCGTGGGGATGGCCACCAGGGTCCGCACGGCTGCCGTCTGGGTGAGTGGGCGGCCTCTCGCTTGTGAAAAGCGCCCCTGAGCCTGGCGTCAGGCGCACACCCGCCTCCCCCGGGCGGTGGAAATGCCCCGATCGGAGGACGCGATCGATGAGAAACCGTCCAATTACTAGAAATCATCGAAGTTAGAAAAATACTCTTTCCGTAGAAGCTTTGCTGAGGTCTAGCTCACATGCCGTAAGTCCGTCCGCGTCCAGTGTTCTCCTCAGTCCTTCTCAGTGCGGGGGCCCCTCACCCGGGGGCGCCGTTCCCAGCCCCGCGGTGCCAGACGCCGGGAGCGCGGAGCCTCGGGCGCCCCGAGCTCCAACCAGTCCGTGCACCTGTTTCCACCCCGAGGAAGCCCTTTGTGGCCTCTGTGTGGCATATTCGAGTCACTAGCATCGCTGCTCTTGCGCTTTGGGGCCATTATTAAGTAAAAGGAGGGTTAATTGAACACAATCACTGCGCTGCCGCTGCAGCCCATCTGATAACAGCTGGGGGTACGGTGGGCAAAGGGGAACCGCGGGAGATTTCATCATGCTCTCAGAACACTGTGCAATGTAAAACTTAGGAACTGCTTAGTGTGTGGAATTTTCCATTTAATGCTTTTGGACCGTAGTTGACCCTGGAAAGTGAAACAGCCGATGAGGGCTGACGACTGTCTTCACAGAGTTGTGCAAATATCACCACCATCTAATTCCAGAACATCATCACGCCGGGAAGAAACCCTGTCCCCATCCATAGTAACTCACCATTCCTTCCCCGGTCCCTGGCGACCATTAATCTACTTTGTGTTTTTATGAATTTACCTATTCTGGACATTTCTGTATAAACAGAGTCACACCAAATGCGGCCTTTTGTATCTGGCTTCTTTCATTTAGCATGATGTTTTCAAGGTTCCCTTGTGTTGCTCTCAGCTTATCAGTCATGGTGCTATTGCCTGGGGGTGCATGGGGCACTCACCTGGCCTGTACCACTTGCGTGGAGCCCCCATAGACATTCCCCTGACTGGAGCCAATGTTGTGGCTTGCTCTTGAGGCTGCAGGTCCCACCCCTCCAGGAAGGAGGCAGCTCAGGCAATAGGATCAGAAAGCTTCAAGGTCAGGAACCCATTGTGGGTCAAGGGACCCCTGACCAGAAGCCTGTCTCTGGAGGACCCCAGCAGAGGCACAAGAGCCACAGGAGAGAGCAGGTCCTCGAGTGGCTGTTTATGTCCCAGGAGCAACTGAAAACCAGCGAGTCCCAGGTGAGTTGCTTGTTGATTGATGCCCACTTCTTTATTACTTTCATTTATTTACTTTTTTGGTGGGGAGAGAGATGTGATTCTTAGCTTAAAGGGTTAAGTTAATCACTCCTTAGTTTGTGGCTTGCTTATCATTATGGTTCCTGTAAGGTTCCTGTGTACCTTTATTTATGTATTTCCTGATTTCCCCATGCTCCATTTCCATCTCCTTTTTTACCCCCCTAAAATTATTATTTTTTTAATGGATATTCTTTCACTGATGTGTTTATAACATGCATTGTTATTGCTGTGTATGTGTTTTTAGTTCCTGTCAGTGCTGTGTGCACATGCGTATCTTGCTGTATCACTTGCGTTTTTCATTGAGTGCTTGTCTCATGAAGCACTCATGCTCCTGCATTATCTGCTATGTTAGTGGCAGCAGGGTTGGAGCGTCCACATGCCTCACATTCCCAGCAATATTGGCTTCGCCATTATAAAGTTTGATTATAATATATCTCTGGGTTTTTGTAGCCTTTTGACCTTCTTTGATGTTTATGTTATTCTATTTCAACAAATTTAGCATTGCAATTAAAAAAGAATTTAGCCATTTTAATAGGTGTGTAATGGTATCTCATTGTTTCAACTTGCAATTCCCTAATGGTATATATGATGTTGAGCATCTTTTCCCCCCTTTTTTAATATATTTTTTTAATTGATTTTTTTTTTTTTTTTTTAGAGAGGGATACAAAGATAGAAACATCAATGAGAAAGAAACATCCATTGGATGCTGCCTGCATGCCCTTTGCTGGGGATTGAGCCTGCATCCTGGGCATGTGCCCTGACCAGGAATTGAACCAGTGACCTTTTGGTTCATGGGTCAATGCTCAACCACTAAGCTATAATGGCCAAGCGATGCTGAGCATCCTTTTAAGTGCTTATTTCCCACGCATGTAGTTTCATGTTCAGATATTTTGCCCCACAAACTGGCCACTACTTAAGCTATTGCCTTTAGTACCTTTTCCCAGACTCCGCCTGACATTTTCAAGCAGCATTGCTCTCCTCTATGCCTGTCTTGTACTCTGTATGTTGTTTCATCCTAGCTTCTTTGACACCCTATTTTATTTGTGTGTATTTAACTCTCCTTTCCTCTGCAATGCTGAATACTTCTTGGAAGCAGGACTCTATTTTATCCATTTTTATATCACATGCACCTAGTTGAATACCTAGCACCAAGCACCTACAGGTCAATAACTGTTGCAGAAGTAGTGTGACCAACCATCCATGTTTGCCTACAACTGTCCTGTCTTTAGCACTGAAGTTCCCGTGTCTAGGGAAATCCCTCAGTCCTGGGATAGTTGGTTACCCTGTGCAGATGGGTCCTAGAATAGCTTAAACATTTGAAGATACAGACATACTTTGTTTTATTGTATTTTGCTTTTTTGTGTTTTGCAGATATTGTTTTTTTGTTGTTTTTTAATCCTCACCTGAGGATATGCTTTTTTCATTGATTCTAAAGGGAGAGGGAGAGAGAGAGAGAGAGAAACATCGATTGGTTGTGTGCCGTACGTGCCCCACCTGGGGATCAAACCTGCAATCTGGGTACATGCCTTGACCGGGAATCAAACCTGAGACCCTTTGGTGCACCAGACAGCACTCTAACCACTGAGCCCCACCAGCCAGGGCAGATGCTGCATTCTTTTCCAGATGCTCTGCCGGGAAAAAGATTATGACTTGCTGAAAGCTCAGATGTTGCTTATTATTTTTTAGGAATAAAGTATTTTTAAATTATGGCATGTATATTGTTTTTTTATTTTGCTTGACGTAATGCTATTGCACACTTAGACTTTAGTGTGGTGTAAACATTACTTTTACATGCACTGGTAAACCACAACATGTATGTGACTATTTTCTGATACTCGCTTTATTGCAGTAGTTTGCAATTGATCTGCAGCATCTCCTAGGTCTGCCTGTGTGTGTTTCATGAGCAGCATTCCTTGCTTCCTTCTTTGTGCCCTTGTTGTACTCTGTATGTTCTTTTGTTTTAGCTTCTTTGACTCCCAGTTGCATTTATACATGTTTAACTTTGCTTTCCTATGCATTGTTGAACACTTGTGGGCAGGACTTTGTATCACTCGCTGTTATATCATCTGCAGCTAGCCGAAGACCAGGCACCTGATATTCTTATGTGTTGAGTGAAAGGCTGATTAATACAGTACATATTGATGGGAAGGTTTTCAATAATTTTTTGCTTTTATCACAAAGTAGAATGCAATTAATGGAAACCCTAAGTAAGCAGTCTGCTGTTTCCCACAAACTCAGTAAGATAATCTGAGATTGACTGGGAATATGCTATTTCAGGGACCGCTGTCATTCATGGATGTGTTTGTGCACTTTACCTGGGAAGAGTGGCGGATGCTGGACCCAGCTCAGAAGCATCTGTACAGGACTGTGATGCTGGAAAACTATAGCAACTTGGTGTCCCTGGGTAAGTGCCGCTGCCCTGGGAGGAGTGTGTGCGATCTCCAGGCTGCTTGCTTAGGGTGAGCTTCTTGGTTGCTTAAAGCTGGGAGGTGGGGGTGGGGCTTTTGCAAAATACTTAGTGATTTTAGACTTCTATTTAAAGGCCAGGTTTTCTTAATCTCCCTTTTTCATTAGAATATGCTAGTTCAATGGTCTTCAGCCAAAGTACAAAAAGGCAGCTTCACCCTCTTGCCTCTTAACTGAAACTTCCCCATTGTTCAGCATCTCTGAATCCTGGGTGGTTGTGGTCTAGGCTGTTGGTGATTTTTCATTCACAGGGTACCAGCACACCAAGCCTGATGTCATCCTCCAGTTGGAACAAGAAGAGCTGTGGACGACGCAGGGCCAGCTTCCAAACCAAGGCCATCCAGGTGATTGATTGAGACATTTCTGTTCTTAAATTTTTATTTAGAATTGCTGTGAATTCTGAAGCGATGTGCACCTCATGCTTGTACTCCTTGTCTCACTGGCAGCTGTTTTCTCCCAGCTGCTCTCCTCTCAGGCTGTCTCAGTCTCCTCACTTTCCCACGGAGCAGACGCTCCATTGTGCATCCAAGTAAGCGTCTTGGACATCGACGTGCATGTCCCTTCTACTTCCTTCCTGTTTTTAAAATAATTTTACGTCCCTTACGAACTTACATTCCACAACGACAATACCAACTTCCTTCCTTCTCCCTGAAACCATCCCTTTCAAGTTTCTCCATGCTGACCACTGCGATGTCCTCACGGTGCTTGCCAGGGGCATTCCTGCAGTATTGGATGGGTTCGGTTTCCTGCCTGGACCCTTCCCTTCCCCTTCGTCAGGCGACGTCCCACTGCACCTCGTTGCACTGTACGGCGACGTTAATGTCCTGCGGAGGCTTGTGGGCTGCTCTTGCTGTTCCCTCTGAGTCCACAGAGGCCTTTTATTTTTAGATTCACCACTTTGTTTATTGTAACTTTTAAAAGACTTCTGTTCTGAAAATTTAAGCTCTTTATTCTCTCTTGGTTATTGAGAGTCGATCCCTCTTTCATCTGCCCTTTGTTACTGGATGTGATTGGTCCACAGGGGATCTTGCTGCCTATGCCACTCCCTTGTCTAATTTTTGGAAAATGGAATCGTCTCTCCCATTGCCCCATAGCCACGTGTCACGTCTCACCTTTCTGACTGCTGTTGGTTCCTTCTGCTGTGCTCTGATTCTTCTTGTTGGTGCCAGGGAGCCAGCTTCCATCTTTACATGCAGTTCTCTTTGCTGGTTTTGCTCTGGTCTGTTAATATTTTGGTCCTTTCAAAAAGAAGTTCCGCATCGTCTGTTTCCACCCACAAGGCTAACATTATTTCATTTCTTGATTGTTCTGCTGTGTATTCAGTTGTGTCTTTTTATGTTAGTCCTTTTTTTCCTCACCTGAGGACATTGTTTCCGTTGCTGTTTCAGAGAGAATGGAAGGGAGGGGGGATGAGGGGTAGGGAGGGGGAGAGAAAGATTGGGAGAGACATCGATGTGAGACAGACACTTCGATTGATTCCCTCCCACACGAGCCCCAACTAGGGCCAGGGATCGAGCCTGCAACCGAGTATATACCCTTGGCTGGAATCGAATCTGGGACCCTTCAGTCTGTGGGCTGACACTCTAACCACTGAGCCAAACAGGCCAGGGCTGTTAGTTCTTGATGTTGCTGTTAGATGGTTCCTTGAGCACTTGCTTCTTCTGTCACAAGCGTAGAAGGGATTAATCAACAGTCAGTCTTTGTTTCATTCTCACTGTTTCAGTTGCAGTTTTTGATTAATACTAAATCACCCTATTCAAGCAGAAGTGATTTATCATCGTAGGTCACAAACGTCCTGAAGTGGGGCAGCTCTAGGGATAACTAAGTGACTCAATCACCAGAGGTCCATCTACCCTGCTGTTCCAAGTATATTAGCATTTTCCTCAGGTTCCCTCCTCTCATTGTCGTCAAATGGCTGTTACAGTTCCTGCCAACACATGCAGATATCCCAGTGACCAGTGGAATAAGAGAGACTTAAGTGTTTCCTCCCACATCACAATTAGTATCAGACAGTAAAACCTATCCTGGGAAGCCCCAGCAGACTTACTGTGTTTGGCAGGATAGGTTTTTATCACATACCCCTGTCTAAGAATACTCTGTCCAGGAAAGGGACCACCCGTGTTGGCTCTGATAAATCAAGCTTTACCTTCTGGGGATGGGGGTGGATGTGGGGATGGAGAGGGGTCACTGTTTCCCTAACTGAAGCTCATAGCTTGAAGTGTGGGAAACAAATCGGGTTTCTGCCAGGGAAGGGGAGCATTGTGCATCTTCATCAACCTCTCTGACTAGGCAGCATCTGGTCACACCTTTCTTCCCATTTTCAAAACTACTCTGCCGTCCGTTTTCATTCTTGTACTATATTAACACAAATCTAGGATCTTGTTTCCAGTCATACCTGGTGGTAGTTCTTTGTGGTTTGGTCACGTTTAAACAAAGATAAGTCATCCACATACAACCAGACAGACAAATACTGAGTGGTAGAAGTAGAGGTAGGAACAACAGGATCTCCACCCTGGGCAAGCAGCAGCAGTGAATAGCACATAGGCATCTCCACCTAAGTTCTCAGGGCATTGAAACCCTGGTCAGATGGCCATGCCAGGACTTCAGGTGTTGCCGTGGCCTAGTTAGCTCTGTGTTCTGTATGTAAACTACAGGTGTTCTTTGGGGAGAATACATTTCTGTAGCTTCAGAATATCAGTTGTTGTTGCAGGGTGAGTTCCTGGGGATTTCCTCCATCCCACAAGCCATGTTTAGTGTAGTTTGCAGTCGTATTTAAGTAACCTTTAAACTTAGGAATCCCTGTCTTCTAGTCACTGGCTTTGGTACCCTTTTCTGATTTCTTGAATTCTTTGAACTTTTCCTTGAGATACCAACCATAATCTTATTTTTCAGTGGACAGGATAATGCTGCAACCAACTGAGCCACACCAGCCAGGGCTTGTTTTGTTTTTGTTTTTTTTTTTGTTTCTTGTTTCTCTGGAAACTTTTACTAGCTTTTTCCTGTCCTCAGTATTTTAAAACATCATGATGATGTTTCTTGTGTGTTTATTTTCATCTGTTTGTATGGGTGTTCATTGGAACTTTATTCCTGAGAGGACTGTAAACTAATTTGCAGTGTTTCCAGCTTTTTCTCCTGAGCTTTCTAGTGTTTGCAACATACTAAGTATTCAACAATTATTTATTAAATAATTCTCATGGTTAACGATTTCATCCATTCTCTTTATATTTTGCTCATTTTTCCTTTTGCCTTATTTGCCTTGTTTACCCATTATGCAAACTGTTTAAACTCAAATCAATCTTCAATTATTGTCAGTTGCCTATGCCTATCTTTATTTTTAGTTTTGCTTTTTTTCCTCCAATGCCCAGGAGTTTGGTGACATTTATACTTGAGATTTTACTTATTTTCAGATGTGATATCTGAAATTAAAACAGTGACCTCATGACATGGCATTTTTAAGACAATTTTATGCTATACCAGGATCATGTTATTATTTATAACATATTTTCATTTCTAGACAGAGTCTGGGAAATTGATAATCACAAGCAATGGTATCAGGAAAATCAAGGCAAGCTGGGAAGTATGGCAAAATACTGTGAGTGTACTGCATTTGGAAAACTGTGTCTTCTTACTACAAATTCTGTTTCTTCAAGACAAAAGCTTTATAAATTTGGCACACATGGGAAGAGTTTGAAATATATAAACTTCGATAGTAATTATGCTGGAAAGAATGCTAATGGATTTTATGCACAACGGGAATCATTCCTTCATTCTGACCATGAACAAACTCTTTTTGGATTAAAATACTATGAAAGTAATGAATCTGGAAAAATTGTAAACAAGAAGTCACAACTCATGTGCCAACAAATCTATTTGGGAGGAAAGCCCTTTGAATGCAGTTACTGTAGGAAAGTCTTCAGCAGTAAGTCATACCTTGTAGTGCATCAGCGAACTCATGCAGAGGAGAAGCCCTACAAACGTGATGGATGTGAAAAAGACTTCCACAGCAGGTCCCACCTCATTGAACATCAGAGAAGTCATATGGGAGAGAAATTATATGAATGTAGTGAATGTGGGAAAACTTTCCATTTCAATTCACAACTCCTTATACATCAGACAATTCACACAGGTGAGACTCCTTATCAGTGCTGTGAATGTGGAAAAGTTTTCATTAGGAAAGACCAGCTTGTTTCTCACCAGAGAACTCATTTAGGACAGAAACCTTATGGTTGTAATGAATGTGGGAAAGCTTTTTCGTTGAACTCACAGCTCATTATACATCAAAGAATTCATACAGGAGAGAAACCCTATGAATGCAGTGAATGTCGGAAAGCCTTTAATACAAAGTCAAACCTTCTGGTACATCAGCGAACCCATACAGGGGAGAAACCATATGGTTGTAGTGAGTGTGGGAAAGCTTTTACTTTCAAGTCACAGCTCATTGTCCATCAGGGGCTTCACACAGGAATAAAGCATTTTGGGTGCATTCAGTGTGGGAAAGCTTTCAGTTTGAAGTCACAGCTTATTGTACATCAGAGAAGTCACACAGGAATGAAACCTTATGTATGCAATGAATGTGACAAAGCCTTTATGAGCAAGTCATACCTCATTATACACATGAGGACTCATACAGGAGAGAAACTTCATGAATGCAGTGACTGTGGGAAATCTTTCAGTTTTAATTCACAACTCATTATACATCAGAGGATTCACACAGGAGAGAGCCCATATGAATGCCATGAATGTGGGAAAGTTTTCAATCGTAAGTATCAGCTCATTTCACACCAGAGAACTCATGCAGGGGAGAAGCCCTATGAATGCAGTGACTGTGGAAAAACTTTTGGTTTGAAGTCACAGCTTGTTATACATCAAAGAATTCATACAGGAGAGAAACCCTTTGAATGCAGTGAATGTCAGAAAGCCTTTACTACTAAGTCAAACCTTATCGTACATCAGAGAATCCATACAGGGGAGAAACCCTATGGTTGTAGTGAATGTGGGAAAGTCTTTACCTTCAAGTCACAGCTCATTGTACATCAGGGAACGCACACTGGGGTAAAACCCTATGGATGTAACCAGTGTGGAAAAGCCTTTAGTTTGAAGTCACAGCTCATTGTACACCAGAGAAGTCACACAGGTTTAAAACCCTATGGATGCAGTGAATGTGGGAAAGCTTTCAGGAGCAAGTCATACCTCATTATACACATGAGGACTCATACAGGAGAGAAACCACATGAATGCAATGAATGTGGGAAATCCTTCAGTTTCAATTCGCAACTCATTGTACATCGGAGAATTCACACAGGAGAAAACCCCTATGAATGCGGTGACTGTGGGAAAGCTTTTAATAGGAAAGATCAGCTCATTTCACATCAGAGAACTCATGCAGGGGAAAAACCTTACGGGTGCAGCGAATGTGGCAAAGCCTTTAGTAGCAAGTCATACCTCGTTATACACATGAGAACGCATTCAGGAGAAAAACCATATGAATGTAATGAATGTGGGAAAGCCTTCATTTGGAAGTCACTACTCACTGTACATGAACGAAGTCATGCAGGGGAAAACCCTTATAAATGCAGTCAATGTGAGAAATCCTTCAGTGGAAAATTACGGCTCATTGTACATCAGAGAATGCATGCAAAAGAGAAACCGTATGAATGCAGTGAATGTGAAAAAGCCTTCATTAGGAAATCTCAACTCATTGTACATCACAGAACTCATTCAGGGGAGAAACCCTATGGATGTGATGAGTGTGGAAAAACCTTCTCTCAGAAATCAATTCTCAGTGCACATCAGAGGACACACACAGGGGAGAAACCCTGTAAGTGCACTGAATGTGGGAAAGCCTTTTGTTGGAAGTCACAGCTCATTATGCATCAGAGAACTCATGCAAATGAGAAACATATTGATGAATTAAAAGCAAAACTTTCTCTTAAAAGTCAATTCACAGGAAATACCAGCAAATTCATGTAGAAGAGAAACTATAAGTGAAGCCATCCCATGCACCAGAAAACTTATACTGAATGGAAACCTTATGAAGATACAGCATGTGAAATGGCATGCACAGAAAGCTGTTTTTACATGTAAAAAACAGTATATGCACACATGAACTCCATGAATTTGATGAACCCTATGAAACTTTTTAGCTGTAAGTCATACCTTTTTGCAAGTTTATACAGGTGAAGAGCCATGTGAATGAAATGAATGTTGGAAAGCCAGTGTTTAAACATGATAAAATTCTCAGAGGAAATTCCATAAATTAATATAGAATACACTCCTTTGAAATTCATAGTTTATTAAACATTAGGATTTTAATTATAGAAAAGTTCTGCTCTGCATTGCAATATTCTTAACATGCAAATGTATACTAGAATAAAATGACTTAATAAAAATGCATTTTAATAATAGAAACCACTTATATTATTTGTTTTTCTTTATAAGTAGGCCTGGCATCTACCTTTATTTATATACATCAATGTGGTTTGTATTTGTAACTGGTTAGAATATTCTGATGTCTTTAAATTCGTAATTCCTCACGTTATGTGCACTCATGATGGGATCATCATTCAAGGTGCCCTGCCAAGGAGTTGACCTTATCACCTAAGTAGGCTGAAGTACTTGAGACTTTAAATTTTTAATGGACTCCTAAAGTACAGAAAAGCAAACTGAGCTCTTGTTTTCTAGTATCATCTTGCAATTATTTACTGGTTCCTTCTGTGTCAGTTACCCAGTAGAACTTTCGTTGTCATTTTTAATTTTAATTCACTTGTCTTTATTTTAGCTATGTGGTATTTTTGTATGTGATGCTGAAACATGTACGTATAGTTGTAGAGTCAGGGTGTTGGGAGATTATTCTGCCAGTCCCTTACTTACAAAGTCTGTTTTCTTCACAGTTTCCTTATGCAAATAAGCATTAACTTGGAAGGAATTGGGTCGCTGGCAATCAGATTAGGCCTGTCTTGGAGGGATATGAGGGTTCAAAACTACAAACATTTCTGAAGCGTCCTCCACTTTGTATTGGGTGCTTTTATTTTATTTAAATATATCTTTATTAATTTCAGAGAGAGGAAGGGAGAGGGAAAGAGAGAGAAACGTGATGAGAGAATCATTGATCGGCTGCCTCCTGCAGGCCCCTGACTGGGGATCAATCCCACAACCCGGGCATGTGCCCTGACTGGGAATCAAACTGCTATCTCCTGGATCCTAGGTCGATGCTCAGCTGCTGAGCCATGCCAGCCGAGCTCCACTTTGTATTCCTTACTTCAGGAGAGAATTCATCTCTTACCCCTGAAAAAACTGTTCTTTCCTTAAAGGCGGTATGTAATAATTTCTGAATGACTAATCCTTATTGTGTTTAGCTCATTATACGGGATACAATCTCAGGATACCTGGGATGAAGAATGATGATTCACAGAAGGAAAGAGAAAACTTGGATAAAGAAAGAATTTTAGATATTTGCTAAAGGATATCCCCTAAATCTGGAAGATACCATAAATATGTACTTTGTCATTGATGTTCCAATCAGTATACACAGAGTAAGAATAAGCATGTAAGGGAAAGTCTAAACTCAGTTTACTACTACCCAGGGTCAGTCAGGGTTTAAAAGTTGCTGTATTGTGTGAAGCAAATGCACATGCAACCTTGAAGACAGTCATCAGATACTGTGGGGAAGGACAGTGCAGCATTGGAAAGATCCATTAGAGGCAATCAGTACTTATAGTCTGAGGGATGGGTAAAGAACCTAGAGAACATGCCATCCCTTCCCTGTGACGCCCCACATACGTGAAAACCATCCCAAGGCACTCTGGGCTTTCTACTACAAAACATGGGAGAAGGTTCAGGAGCACTGAGACAGATTCCTCCAATGCATTCTAGGCCTTCATAGGGCTGGGAGTTCAAAAGTCAGAACCGGGAAGCAAAGGGACCTCAGGATCCAAGAAAGCACTCGGGCTGTAAAGCAAGGGGATATTTCACACTATCACCTGTCGTCTGTGAGCACAGGCAGATCTCAAACATTTCTAGGTTCAGATCCCAGGCCCTGCTGAGGGAAACATTCTGATCCTGCCCTCAAAATAGTTGAAAGAAGCTGTGAACTAAATCTAACCTAAAACTGCAACAAAGTCCGTTCCAGCTTAACAGGTCAGATTGATTCAGTCTCGCCCAATGTCCAGTTTCACAGCTGACATTTGAAAATATGTACCCTTTTATGGAAATAAGTATATACCCAGGGCAAAGGAAATCATTGTGAATAAAGAAATATATAATTATAAAAGCATTATTTCACCAAAAATACAATCCTAAGTGTGCATGCACTTAACTATGAAGCTTCAAAATCATGCAAAAAACTGAGCTGAAAGAAACGCTTTCTATTTTAGTTGGACACGACATGTTTATTTTTCAATAACTTGGAGAGCAGGCATCAGTAAGGCTATGGAAGAACTGATTAAGGCCATCAACAGAGAAGAGCTAAGACATTTCTAGAACGTCCAACAGCAGATTGCACATTCCCATTGCACACGAATCATTCACCTATATGCATAGGCCATGTCCTGGGTCATAAAATCTTAAATTTTAAAAAAAGTAATTGAAATAAAAAATGTCTTCAGTCTGTAATGCAAGTTAACAAGAAACCAATAGTAAAAAGAATACGTATCAACACTTGGAAGTTAATACAATTTGAAGTAATCCACAAGTCAGAAATTTAAAGAAAGTATTATGAGCTGAAAAAGCAGAGCTTACAGGTCAATATGTAGCATTAACTATGAGAAAAGAATGAAGCTCACTCAGTAAACTACCTTAGAAACTAGAAGAAAAAAGGGAAACAAACCCCGGGGGCAACCAGGATTTAGCACTTACGTCTGCACTTTTCAAATGGGCTCATGGCCTCAGTCTGCCTTGTAACTGCCATTTGTATTGTACAATGTGTCACCGTCCCCAGTTGCCTCAGCAAGCACCCTTCCTCAGCATAATTACTAATATTTATCCTCGCCTGAGGATAAGCTTATTGATTTCTTAGAGGAAGAGAGAGAAACACCGACCAGGGATGGAACTTGCAGGCTAGGTATGTGTCCTGAGCGGGACCGAGCCTGCAGCCTCCTGCTGTCCAGGAGACTGGTCCAAGCCGCTGGGCCACGCCGCGGGGACCTGGGACCCTTAGGTGTGATGATTCAGCAAAGCTTCCACCAACTGCTTGGTTTCCAGCTTTTTCACTTGAACAAACGCTGAAATGTTTGTGTTTGTGTCAAAGCCTTTTGCATAAGCTTGGAAGTCAGAGAACTTTTTCTTTCTAGCAAGACCTTGACTCTTTAGGAACCAACTTGCAGCCTTGGTCTCCCTCCTGCAGCACCCTCCCTCGTGCTGGGCAGCGCAGCTCTCCAGGCGCGCGCCGCCGGAGGGCCGGTCCGAGCAGGACGCTGGCGCAGTGATTCCCACCCCTCTTGACCAGGGGCCGCCAGAGCCCAGGACCCCCACGCCCTCCGCCCGTGAAGGTGTCCTCAAAGCGCGCTGCCCACGCTCGGGGTCACGCGGAGGTCAGCCCGGGCCAGTGTCGCCGGGGGCTGTCCCCAGTGTGCTCCTCAGGCCCGGCTTAGGGGAGCCCCCTCCTGAACCGTGTGTCCCTGCAAGGCCTGCTCCCACCCTGTGTCCTTGGGCTCTGGGTTTGAAAGGTGCAGTCGCCCTGGGGCCCAGGGACCGGGTGCGGGTGGCAGAAGGCACGCGAGTCCCGGGCGTCTGCCCCAAGCTGCGACCCTCGCAGGTCTCGGCTCCGCGGTCCACCCGGGCCGGTGGCCTCGGGTCAACCAAGGGTCACCCCCTCCTCCCGGCCCCGCCTCAGGGGAGTGGGGGGTGGCGCCCGCTCCTCCCCAGCAGGCCACTGCCCCCGGGACCCAGCCGCTCCGTCCAGGGACTGAAGGCTCGCAGAGCCAGGCTTGACGGCACCTCGGAACCCCAGAACCTCCCTGCGCACCCCGCACTGCACGGACCCCGAGCGCAGGGGACACAGGGGCACCAAGGCAGGCACGGGGGGCATCGGGCGGCGCCTTCGCGCGGATTGGCTGGGGCCTCGATACTTTGTAGCGACCGCGCCCTGCGCGCTGCCGGCTGCCGCCACTGCGGCGCCTCCTCCCCGGAGGTGCGGGCTGAGCACGTGCGCGCAGGGCGGGCACGGAAGTGGGGGTGGGGGTCCCCCGCGGCCCCTAAGCGGATCCGGCCGGACGGGACTCGGCCTCCGCGGGGAGCAGCACGGCCGTGAAAGGTACTCGGTTTCGGGCTACGG